CATTAAGTCAGATATGACAGAAATTTCATTAGCAGCTTTTATTCAACCGTTAACGGTAACAAGTTTGGTGTAACAGAGATTGAGCGAAAAAGAGAATTCAGAGTAGAGAGAAAGACAGTTCAAACTCAAGAAAAGAAAGAAGCTGAATATACTTCATTGATTGAAAGAATGAAAGATACTACTTACAAGGTCTATGGTGACACCTATATATATATATACATGCATCTAAAGGACCTGACTAATAACAAACTAACTAACAGATAAAGCTAACTAACAAACTGACTAAAAATAAAAGAAAAGAAAAATGGAAGCTTAATTATTGTCCGGTATTAGCCCCCCGCAAGCTGGAGAATATATATCAATCATTCCCAGCTTGGACAAAATGGCATGAAAGCTGGTATGAGCAAGAGGTTTGGTAAGAAAGTCAGCCAACTGGTTTAAAGAAGATACAGGCAGAAGCTTAATTAAACCTGAGAGGAGTTTTTCCCGGACAATATGGCAGTCGATCTCAATATGTTTAGTCCGTTCATGGAAGGAATCATTATGAGCTATGTGTATTGCAGACTGGTTATCACAGAAAAGATTGCAAGGAGTATTTGGTAAGCTGTGAAGATATTTCAAAAGGTGGTGAATCACCTGTATCTCGCAAACAGTGGAGGCTAAAGCTCTATATTCAGCCTCGGATGATGATTTGGATATAGTGGTTTGCTTTTTGGTCTTCCAAGATACTAGAGAAGAACCAAAGTAGATGCAGAATCCGGTTATAGATCGCCTAGAATCAATGCACCTTCCCCAATCTGAGTCACTGAATGCATGAAGCTTGAAGTCTGATTTCGACGGGAAGAATAGCCCTTTTCCTGGTGAAGCTTTGATGTACCTGAGGATGCGATGAGCAGTTTGAAGATGTATATCAGTAGGTCTGTCCAGGAATTGACTTAGCTGCTGGACAGAATAGGATATATCTGGTCGAGTAGAGGTTAAGTACAAAAGTCTACCAATGAGTCTTCTGTAAGAAAAAATATCAGATAGAGGATTTCCAGTGTCTTTGGACAACTGAATAGAGGGATCCATGGGAGTTTTTGTTGGCTTTGAGGCCAAAAGACCAGCATCAGATAAGAGTTCCAAAGCATACTTTCTTTGGTTTAATGAAATTCCCTTTGAAGATCTGGCAATTTCAAGTCCAAGGAAGAATTTAAGATCTCCAATGTCTTTGATGCGAAATTGTTTGTGTAAGAAATCTTTGACGTGATTAATTTCAGCAAGGTTACTTCCCGTGAGAACGATATCATCAACATACACTAATAGAGCAGTGAAACCGGTTGAAGTGTACTTAGTATAAAGCGTGTGATCAGAAAAGCATTGAACGAAATTCAGGGATTGGAGAGCCTTGTGAAGAGTGTTAAACCACTGTCTGCTTGCTTGCTTCAGCCCATACAGCTATTTCTTGAGAAGACAGACTTGATTTGGTTTTAGAGAAGAGAGTCCTTGAGGAAGAGTCATATACACTTCTTCATCTAAATGTCCATGAAGAAATGCATTGTCAATGTCCAATTGATGTAGGTGCCAGTGCTTGGCTGCTGCAAGTGAAAGGATTAGCCTGAGTGTAGTCATCCTTGCTACCGGTGAAAAAGTATCCAAGAAATCAATTCCTTCCACTTGTGTATACCCTTTTGCTACGAGTCGGGCCTTATATCTATCAACAGTTCCATCTGGCTTGTGCTTGAGCTTGTAAACCCACTTGCATCCTATAGGGATTTTTCCTTTTGGTAGATAAATAAGAATCCACGTATTGTTTCTCTGTAGGGCAGCAATTTCTTCTTGCATGGCTTTCTTCCAATTTTCATCTTTAACAGCTTCGGAGTAATTTCTCGGCTCCATGATAGTGGATATGTGTGCAACAAAATTCTGATATTTAGGAGGCAACCTGTTATAAGATATTACATAGGAAAGAGGATAAGTAACAGAGGACAATTGTTTTTCAGAGTCAGAAAGAAGCTTCACTGATGATGTAGATAAACTGCAGTGGTAATCCTGCAAGTAGGTAGGAGCCCTCCTTGTTCTGGCGGATTGTCTCCCAGGCTGAGCTTGATTTAGGTTGTGATTAGGTGCTTCATTCTGACTCTGGACAGTAGATGTGGTCATTCCATTTGGCTCGTTGACGATTGGAGTATAATCAATGTTGTGCTCTTGTGGTTTTCTAGATTGACTGATATCGTGGTTGTCCTGTTGACTAGAATAGTAGGGAAAAACATGTTCATGAAACACCACATTTCTGGAAATGAAGATCTCTCTATTCTTGAGGTCAAAGAGGACAAATCCTTTCTTTCCTTGTTTAAAACCTATAAAAACACATCTCTTTGCACGAGGATCAAGTTTGGTTCTGTTGTTAGTGAGAGTAGAAGCAAAACACAGTGAACCAAAGACCCTTAACATGGAAAAATCGGGAGCAGCAGAATGCAAGACTTCATAGGGACTTTTATCCCTGAGTACAGGTGTAGGAATCCTGTTGATAAGATAAGCTGAGTGCCCAACTGCATATGACCAGAAGCACTTAGGCAGATTGGCTTGGAAGAGAAGAGCCCTTGTTACATTAAGAAGGTGTTGGTGCTTCCTTTCAACTATAGCATTTTGTTGAGGAGTTTCAACACACGATGTTTAATGAATAACTCCTTTAGCAGCATAGAATTGTTCCATATTAAATTCAGGACCATTATAAGTTCTAATTACCTTGATTTTGGTATTAAACTGGTTTTCTACTAAAGCAAAAAAATTTTGGGTTAAACTTCTAGCTTCGTGTTTACCTTTCAACAGATAAACCCATGTGTACCTTGAAAAATCATCAATAACAGTAAGAAAATAAACATGACCATGAATAGAACTAGTAGAGAGGCCCCCAAATGTCAACATGAATCAAATCAAAAATTTTATTAGATTTAGTTTCACTCAGAGTATATGGCAATTTCCTTTGTTTAGCAAAATGACATATATCACAATCAAAGTGTCTATTATTACTGATGAAAGGGAATTGTTTCTGTAAAACATTCAATCTATCCAAAGAAAGATGGCCTAACCTATAGTGCCATAGATTTTTATTAACAGCAACCAAATTACAATTATCAGTGTCTGTATGAAGCATGGAAATATAAGAATGAGTGTCTGTAGGATCCTTCAAGAGGTAAAGCCCATCTCTAATCTCAGCTGTACCAATCATCTTGCAGGTACTGGAACTCTGAATCCAGCAACAAGAACCAGAAAAGATTAGCTTGCAATTTAAAATAGTAGTCAGTCTGGATATAGAAATAAGATTGTATTGAAAATTAGGTAAATAGAGAACATCTGTTAAGTAAAGAAAGGGAGAAAAATGTATGGTTCCAGAAACACTAGTCACAACAGAATTTCCATTCGGAAGATTCACACGCACAGGTTTAATATACTTGTAAGAAGTAAAAAAGGATAAAGAAAAGCATATGTGATTTGTAGCACCCGTATCTAAAATCCACTTATCTTTAAATGCTTTACCATTATGAGTAGGAACGGTGCTATGTTGTTGTACTGTGGACAGATTCACTTGCACATTGCTGTTATGATCAATCAGGTTCTCGTTGGAATTTTGTGGAAGCAGGGCAGCAAGTTTCGGTGTTGTTCAGCCGTGAACCCGAACGTTTGTTCCTGGGCACCGTTGCTTATCTCTCCAGTGTTTGCCAAATTGTCAGAAACCACCACATTAGCTGTCCGATTTGCGTATTTGGGGTTATTGAATTTGAACCCTGGGGGAAATCCATGTTTCTTATAGCAAACATCTACAGTGTGTCCCATTCTTCCACAGTGCGAACATATTTTTCCAGTCTGCTGTTGAAATTTCTGATGATTACTGCCTTTGTAATTATTGTATTTCCTCGGTTCTTGGTTAGAGCTTTCACTGATGTTGACGAGAATCTTAGAATTTTCGGAATGTTCGACATGGAACTGCCTTTCTTGTTGAGCGATGAGGGAATATACCTTGTTGATAGTAGGAAGGGGATCGATAAGCATGATCTGAGATCTGACGTTAGAATATTGTTCATTTAACCCTTTCAAGAACCTCACCACAATATCAACATTCCTTTGATTCTTTAGTTTGGTCAGGGCACCACAAGTGCACCTCGCATTACAGGTGCAAACAGGTATTGGATTCAAAACATCAAGTTCATCTAATAAAATTTTCATACCCGTATAATACTTGGTTACAGACAAATCTCCTTGTTTGAAACTATAGATTTCTTCTTGTAACTCAGAAATTCTGAAAAGATTTGCATGAGACAACCTTTCTTTGAGTTCTGCCTAAACGTCTGAAGCTTTGTTTCTCCATATAACAGATCGAGCGATCTCAAAGCTCATAGACTGAATAAGCCAACGGAGAACATAGGTATTACATCGCTCCCAAAAAGGATGAATAGGGTTAGTTGCGTCTGGTTCTGGAATTGTACCATCGATGAAGCCAACCTTGTTCTTGGTTAACAGACTCATCTTCATTGATCTGGACCAGGTGTGATAGTTCCCATCTGTTAGAAGATCTGGAACAAGAACCATTGTTAGGTTTTCGTTCGGATGAATATAATATGGACATGCTGGACTCTGCATATCCTCCAAAGTATACGTTACCATGATCAGAGTTACGCAACAGAGCCCTCCTAAGAGAGCTCTGATACCATAACAAGTTTGGTGTAACAGAGATTGACGAAAAAGAGAATTTAGAGTAGAGAGAAAGACAGTTCGAACTCAAGAAAAGAAAGAAACTGAATATACTTCATTAATTGAAAGAATGAAAGATACTACTTACAAAGTCTATGGTAACACCTATATATATATATACATACATGCATCCAAAGGACCTGACTAATAATAAACTAACTAACAGCTAAAGCTAACTAACAAACTGACTAAAAATAAAAGAAAAGAAAAATGGAAGCTTAATTATTGCCCGGTATTAAACGGAATCCCTACAATGTAAATCACCTCTCGTTGCCTTAGTCTGCTAGATACTTTATTTATTCCTTTTTAGCGATTTTGCTTCTTTTCCATTAAGCGCCCATGCTATCCCCTTGAATATATTTTATTTTTTTCATGGGCCACCTTACTTTTGCTTTCCCATCTTGCCCTTATTTTATTATTTGGTTCCCAAGATAAAGGAGTGAGATAAATTGAATTGGACGAGAGATGGCCAGAAATGTGATGCACGCGGTTCAGTACTACGCCTATGGGCGAGGACCCAATGGCTTGAAGGTTAGTGATTGAAATTTGAAATTCAATTATTGGTTAACAGAATTGGTGGTAACTGAATCTGAATCTGAACTGTAGCACGTTGAAGTTAACGTTCCGACTCCAAAGCCAGACCAAGTTTTACTGAAACTTGAAGCAATTAGCATAAACCCGATCGATTGGAAGATTCAGAATGGTCTTCTGCGCCCTTTGTTTCTTCCAAGAAGCTTTCCTCACATACCTTGTACGTAAGCTATACCTAACTCCCAATTCCCTCCATTTATTTCTGTAACTAACATGCAATTCCATCCAAACAGGCACTGATGTCGCCGGAGAGATAGTTGAGATTGGCACGCAAGTCAAAGATTTTCAAGTTGGCGACAAAGTCGTTGCCAAACTCACTCATCAAGTAATTTCATTTCATGCTTCTCTTCATCCCAATTTCCCGTTTCAGTAACATCTTTATCTCTAGAAATAGTAGATTGTCCGAATTTTAACAAGTAGAGGCGTGTAATTCACTGAAGAGGCTCTGAATAGTTATACAAGATGTTTTTGTAATTGCTGTCATATCTCTGTTTGTTCTGTGTCTGAACTAGGACGGCCAAAAGATAACAAAACCTTGGATGGAAGTGTATTGCCTGTCTAACTGAAATCTTGTAGAAATGTAGAATATATATGATGATGCTCCATGATTTTCAGTGTGAAATAAATGGCATGTTACAGCTGTATGTGCTGCATGTATAGAACCTTGTCCAAGTCATACGCCATGATATTGTTATTTGTAATGCTTGGTATCTGATATCCACTTTTGTTGTTTATGCTGAGTGACAGTATGGAGGTGGACTGGCTGAGTTTGCTGTGGCTAGTGAGAGCTTAACAGCTGCCAGACCGTCTGAAGTCTCGGCTGCTGAAGCTGCGGGTTTACCCATCGCTGGTCTCACTGCTCGTGATGCCCTCACTCAAGTTGCAGGAGTCAAGCTTGATGGGACTGGCGAGCCCAAGAACGTTTTAGTAACTGCTGCTTCAGGTGGTGTAGGTCACTATGCTGTTCAACTGGCAAAACTAGGGAACAACCATGTCACAGCCACTTGTGGGGCTCGCAACATTGACTTTGTTAAGGGCTTAGGAGCAGATGAGGTTCTTGACTACAGGACCCCAGAGGGGGCAGCACTAAGGAGTCCATCTGGTAGGAAATATGATGCAGTGATACATTGTACATCTGGAATACCCTGGTCAGCTTTTGATTCTAATCTGAGTGAAAAAGGGGTGGTGGTTGATTTAACACCCACCCCAAGCTCATTTATGACTTTTGCTCTGAAGAAACTTACTTTTTCCAAGAAGCAGCTGGTGCCATATTTCGTCACTGTCAAGCGTGAAGGCCTGGATTATCTAGTTCAATTAGTGAAAGATGGAAAACTCAAGTCTGTAATTGACTCGAAGTTTCCTTTGAGCAAAGCTGAAGATGCTTGGGATAAGAGCATTGATGGCCACGCTACTGGAAAAATTGTTGTAGAGCCATAGGTACAGTTTACGTGGAGGAATTGTATTTCTAGTTTCTGCGTATCTGTACAAGGTTTGTGAAAACTCATAAAATTGAATAACAGGGCATATCATATGTTGTAAGGATTTTAAGTTAATATTTATGCTCTTGCTGGTTTGTGTATGACGATATGCTTTATTAGGCAACTTTTTTTCATGTCCTACGTGGTTTTGTGCATTCAGGAAACGGGCTAAGATAAACCCTGTGTGAAATGTGCCTAGATTCATAGAACTCCGTGGTGATAAGTGTTAATGGTGGACCGCTTGACCTCCATATAGTGAGGAATAAGCGTTCTACATTCTGGTTGAGTATTTTTCTGAAAGACGCATTAAGATGGACATAGGACAAAATTAAGTTACTTTGATTTTCGTTTAGGTGCGATCATTTTTATCATTTTTTTTTTCTCTTGCTTATGTAGCAAGAAGAAACTGTTAATCTCTGCTGCTCTGAAGAACTTTTTTCCCTTCCTCTGATGTTTAGTTGGTTTTCATGTTAATTGATGTTTATTCAGCATTCTAGTGATATGAAGTGGTTGTCTCTTCGGATGTAACATCTTTCTCGTGTTACGGAGAGGCTAAGGCTTCTCACTTGAAAGCAAAATAACGGATTGAAGTATATTTTATTTTTTTTAAATTGCAAATTTACAACGGGTTTTTGCTGATTTTGATTATGAATGGGCATGTGGGTTTTGTAGATTTTTTGTATTTATATTAGAAAATCAGTGAGATACACGAGTTCCATTGAAACGGGGGAGGGTCAAAATAGTTAAAAGGGTATTTGGGTGGGGGGCGATGAAGATTTAGGAGTGCTTATAGAGGTTAAGGATCTTTGAGGCAAATGTCCAGCACTGGCTATTAAATTAGGGAAAAGGGAGATTCAAAATAGAATTTAACTGTTCCGCCAATTGAACTCCTCATTTCACAGGGGGGAAAAATGAGAGATACTTGAGAAAAGGTGTGTGCAATCTGTGAGAAATGAACCAATCATACTAACACATGCTATATGCCTAGGATACATTTACTGTTGATATTATTTTGTTTGGATGTCTTGACAATTGTAAATAAAGCTACTTGGGCAAATTAGTTCTTTTGATCATAAGAACACGACATTTCCTTCCAATCCAATTACTTGTCCACGGTGGATCTCGAGACACAACATGGTACCCTGCATTTGCGTACAATTTGCGAGCTCCTAGATCTTCTTCATAGGCTCGAAGTGCAAGAAACTCAAAACCCCACAAAATGGAGAGCATGTCACAAGCTTTCAACAATGCGGTCGCTATTTTCCTCCTCCTGTGCTATCAATTAGTTTCTTAAGTATACACTTCACAACAACATAATAGAGATCATGTGCTGATTATCCAATTTTACTTAATCACCTGAAAGTTTTGGAGACGGCTATTCCTGATACGTAAAGGTACTCTTCTGCTTCAGCAGGAAGATGTTGAAGCACATGTTGGTCTCTTAAGACTGTGACATCTGTAACACCTACAAGTTGTTTTGATGAATCTGGTTCGTTTTTGGCTGGCTCAGCCACCAAACAAGCATACCTAAATTAACATCATACATTAGTGCCTAGCGTTGAACAAGAATGCGGATTTGCAAGGATCAATTGCTGAGAAAACGTAACACGAGGTGAAAAAATGTGGTACATTTGGATTTCATGGGATAGGGTTGAAGTAAATAGAACAACGATCAGATGCTGCATATTGTAAAAGTAATTTTATAATTCAGAAATTTCAGATCAATAACATACATAAGCTTGCTTAGATAGAACAACTTTACCTATTAGGAGGTGAGTTTTTAAGCTTGTAAAGAAGCCCCGAGAGCACTTCCGCCTAATTTCATCAAGGAAGGACAGCAAAAGGCACACAAATTAACTAAGAAGTGGGTGATTGAAAAAATATAAAGCGACTTCCTCACAAAATCAATAGTTGAATTGAAAGTTCTTAATAAAGACTACTGATACGAAATTTCCATTCATTCATAATTATTTTATACTTCAAAATATATTAAAATGAATGTAATATGTACTTTTTAAATATAAAAATGGGTTATTTAATACCATTATTGTTTGTTCCTGAAAAAATTGACCCAAAGTTTAATATGAAAAATAGTTATATCTCAATGGTTTTCATCTGCCAAAATACATAAGGGAAAACGAAAGTCATGAAGTGGGACATGTATGATGAGATCCAACCCTGTTAAATTGGTTAATAACAGAATAATTTATTAATTTCTTCCACGAACAATGCTTATTTTATTTAATCAAACTTGCATCTTCTAGGTAGACAAAGGAAGAATTAATGAAGACATTCGTTTGATAAGATTGGAAAAGAAAAAAGAGAGAAGCAGAACCTTAAAGAATTGAAAGAACAAATCGTTGAAAAGAGCGACAGGAACATGGAATGCTTGGGCCTGAACTTGAGCTGCCATCCTTATCTCATCTGTGTTTTCAATTAGTCTCCTTACCCTCCAACCATATTCACACACCAAATACTCAAACCGCTGCTTTAGCTTTCCACTGCCATTCTCAATCTGTAACCTCACTTTCTGATCAGCACAGGATAATTGTGAACTACTTGTGCTGCTGCTGCTGCTGCAATGCAACACCAAACCACTCCCACAACCTCGGCTTTTCCTTCTCACCCTGTGACACGCACTTCTGGATCCTGTTCTAACACCATGCACCGTGTTTGAGCATACAAGTTTATGTGAAGCATTGGGGTTGCTCACCAGTAAATGAGCCATACATGCATACATACATTCATTCATGCATGCACTAACCAAACAAAGAAAATGAAGGGGGGCAAGGTTAGGCTACACAACATAGTTTGCTCGCCATCCTTTTCACTTCACATTTGGTTTTGGTTGATATCGCAAAATCCATTACAGAATTCGGAGTGGGACCTGTTGGTGTTTGTGTGGCCACTCTTTCTTGTGCTCATTTATGTGGCTGCCAATTATTGATCCAGAGGCCACGTGCAATCATGTCAACCAAGAAAATTTTTATTTTCGTTTCAATCTTAAGGATGCCCTCGTTGTTTAATTCCAATTCCACACTCCATCTTCACAAACCTCACTAGTCATGTTCAATATCCTGCCAACAACATCATTAACCATAAATTCTTAATCAATATAAAGCTTTAAAAGATGTGTCTGAATCACCCCACCAGTTAGAAGATGTGTTGAAAGCATAGGATGCAAGACCAAAAACAATGAGAAAACTTAAATAACACCGACCAAATACAAGGCATCATATGATGTCAAACAATCTACTAATGTAAGAACAACCAGCAATATAAAGTGAAGCAAAAGCTTAGTCACATAAGCAGAGTTACAATCAGTGCATTATCACTTAATTGAAGCAAATATAACATTGTCCACAACGATTGAAAAAGAAACTGAACAATTTAGGCAAAAGCCATAATTATTGAATGATGTAAAGGACAAATTTGAGGTATATAATTTATTTGATCATATACATGTTATATGATTTTAACAATTACCTATTTATCTTCGTATGATAATAATTATTGCCATTCTTTAAAGTTTTTTTATTAAATTACTCTGACTAACCCAGGATCTGTCCCGATATAATTGAAGATGTTTGCTACTGTTAAACTATGAAAAAGAAAATAAAGAAGACCTTGGATGGTTGAAGGAGAATGTGTGTGTACTAATCTGATCCCCAAAAGTAGAAAATACCCATCGAGCATTAGGACTCAGTACCACAATCAAGGAATAATTATTGATCTTCGAGTGGATATGAAACCTTAAAGTGACAAGACAAACACAGAGAGAGACTGAGAATTAAAAGACTGCTAAATGAACAGGCCAATGACGAGACGAACAAATTCACGCAGCCCCTTTCTTTCTTGCCAAAATTACTCCATTTGTGTTCATCCCAACGAAACCTCCCTTGGCCATTTCTAAATTTAGGACTGGCCCATTCCATTCAATATTTTTTGCTTTTATTTATTATGCAACAAAAGTTAGTTTTATTTAACTTTCTATCTGACCAATTTTTTTCCTATCATTCTACAAAATTCTAAAATTTTACTTATTTAGTCAGAAAAAAAAATTAAAACAATTTTTATAAGTAAAGTCGTTGGCAAACTACCTAAATATTCTTTTTCAAAAATAAAAATTATTTCATATTCTCAGAGTCTATTAAATGTTTTTGTTCATAATGGGTTACTAGTTCTACACTATTAAAATAAGTGTGTTTTTTTAATCGTCTTGACTTATTTAATAACCATTCTTAATTTTAATAAATGAGGACTGTATTTTGTCAAACGCTTTCTATTTAGGATTAATCAGTTTTAAAGAGAAAATAGTTATGGTTGAGGTATAAAACTCGGATTTTGTCACAGGTGGCATAAAAGAAAAGAAAAATGAGGCATATGCATAAAACACCGCGTGTAGGAAGGCAATTATTTGTTGAACATTTTGGTTGTCTCTATTAAAAAAGGGAAAAAGGAACGGTGCGGGATATTAACGAAACCACCGTAAAACAAGAGACGAGTTTGTGGAACAGTGGCATTGGATTCCGCAGATGAATGTCTTTTGAAACCACACCCACCTAACCTTCGACTTCTTGCTACTCACACCACTTTCTACACATTTACTCCCAAACACTTTCTCTTCCAAATGGCCGACAGTGGTTCCAACCCTACCCCTTCTCCTCCTCCACCGCCCGCTGACACCGCTCCACCGCCACAACAACTTGATTTGCCCACTGCCTTAGCTGCAGAACCCGAACCCGAACCCGAACCCAAACCCAAACCCCCTGTTACTGACAACAAGGAGCCCGATAACACTTGCGAGGAGGATGTGGTAGTGGTTGAAGAGAAAGAGAAAGAAGAAGAAAAAGAGGAGCGGAAGATTCCGCAAAGCTTAGAGTCGTTCAAGGAGGAGAGCAATAGGGTTTGTGATCTGTCGGAATCGGAGAGAAAGAGTGTGGAGGAGCTGAAGGAGATGCTGAGGGAGGAGCTGAAAGCGGAAGGAGAAGTTTCGATTTGGGGTGTTCCTCTGCTGAAGGACGAAAGAACCGATGTGATTCTTCTGAAGTTTCTGAGAGCCCGAGAGTTCAGAGTGAAGGACGCTCTTTTCATGATCAAGAACACTCTCCGCTGGAGGAAGGACTTCAACATGGACGCTCTCTTAGATGAAGATCTGGGTGATGATTTGGATAAGGTTGTGTTCATGCACGGACATTCCAGACAGGAGCACCCTGTCTGTTACAACGTCTATGGAGAGTTCCAGAACAAGGACCTTTATCGCAAGGCATTCTCCACGGAACAAGCTCGCACCAACTTTCTCCGTTGGAGGATTCAGTTCTTGGAGAGGAGCATTAGAAAGCTGGACTTCTCTCCCGGAGGCATTAACACCATTTTCCAAGTGAATGATCTTAAAAATTCTCCAGGCCCTGCCAAACGCGAACTTCGCCTTGCCACCAAACAAGCCTTGCAGTTGCTTCAGGACAATTATCCCGAATTTGTTGCCAAACAGGTTTTTATCAATGTTCCCTGGTGGTACCTTGCTTTCTACACCATGCTCAATCCCTTCCTCACTCAGAGGACCAAAAGCAAATTTGTCTTTGCAGGCCCTTCCAAGTCTCCCGATACTCTTTTCAAGTTAGCCTCTGTTCTGTTTCCGATAATTTCTCCCTTTTTTTCGTGTTTTTGTTTGTTAATCATCTTGTGCAATGAAATAGGTACATTTCTCCGGAGCAAGTGCCGATTCAGTATGGTGGCCTCAGTGTAGACTTTTGTGACTGCAACCCAGATTTCAGTGTGTCTGATCCTGTCACGGAAATTCCCATCAAGCCAACCACAAAGCAAACTGTGGAAATTGCTATTTATGAGGTGCGTTGCAACTGCCACTGTTCTTTTTTCTTCCTGTTATTAGTCTTTGAATTAAAGTATGTGGGTGTGTGATTTGCAGAAATGCATTATTGTTTGGGAGCTGCGGGTGGTGGGCTGGGAGGTCAGTTATGGTGCTGAGTTCAAGCCCGATGCTACAGATGGATATACTGTTATCATACAGAAGGCTGCCAAGATGTCACCCACCGATGAACCCGTGGTTTCCAATAGCTTTAAAGTTGGTGAACTAGGCAAATTATTGCTCACTGTCGACAATCCTACCACCAAGAAAAAGAGGCTTCTTTACAGGTTCAAGATCAAACCTTATTCTGATTGAGGCAAAATCATCTCCTGTCCTCTCTGGTGATTTTCGGTACACGAAGGAAATTGAACCTGAAGAGTAAGAATTATGCATGTCATCATTTGTTCAGTCCATTCTTCATCTGTAATTTTGGTCCTGAGTTGTTTGCAGATTGGCTTTCTCTGTCTTTGTTGTATTCATTACTTTTATTGCTAGACAAACATGTTAGCTGGCTAGTCTAAATTGGTCGTTTATTTTCTGGTGATGGGCAATGCCGGGGAAGAGTGTAGGATGTGTAATTGGAATTGGAGTTGGTTTATGGGATTATATGTATTACCAACATTTTGTGTCACTTTAATGGTCAAACCAACGTATAGAAAGCCTGGTTAAGAGAAGTTTCCATGTAAAATTTTTGTTATTGTACTTATCCAGCCTGCAGTTTGGTTTAATTATAAGCATTTTGAATGTCATAGATATGTAATATAAGAGTTGTATGCTTGATTTCTCACTTTCTTTCTTGACAAAATTTACTAGTTTAAACTGGTTGTACAAGTTCTTTTAGATTTGGCTTCTAATTTCCAAGTTAGGGGAAAGGTTCTAAGGAAGCTAGTCCCCTTTTGAATGATATTTTTGAGGATTTGAATGTATATTGCGATTTCATTGGTTTTCTTGGTGTTGATAACTCCCATGTGAACTTTTTTTGTTTAGATTACATTTTAAAGGCCGACAGTGTGTAGACGACGATCTGTTTATATCTGAACATAAACTGATCTGAAGATGCCAATTTGCGTATGTCTGTGTCAGTATGCTTGCATACTATTCTGTAGATTGCTTTCCATGTTTTAGATTAGTCATCTTTTCTGTCTTTTTGTACTTTTTTTCTGAGTGGATCTCTATTTTTTTTATTTTTCGAATTTAAATTAAATGAAAACTCAACACGTCCGTTTTATTTGCTCTGAAATTCTATTACTAGGTTTCTGCTGATGAATCATTACACTACATAGTCATCCTAATGGGCAGACATATTTGCTATAGGTTTTGTTGATTGGAACACGTGGTTGGCTTTTGGTCTTTCCTACCTTTTATAATTTCCTTATGATGTTCGGTATCACTACTGTTGCTTGGTTTTTCTCTTTGCTTGTTCGATGTACTTGCCCATACCATAGTCTTTGTTAGTTGATCACAGCGTAGCCTGAACTGCCCAATAACTTATGCCAAGAGGCAAGAGAACAACGTCAAGCCAAATAAAAGAAAAAAAGGAGAGATTTTTTTTCTTAATTTATATGTATCTCTCTCTCTCGTAGGAGACATAGCCCATATGCTGCTTAGTTGTACTGTCTATTTGCTGTACAACTATTCTCATGTGCTTTACGATGAAAATTGTCTGCTTTGTTCCAATATTCATTTGTTCTCACCCTCATTATTTTGTTCAAAAAACCAATAATATTTATATATGTAGTATGTCATCTACTTTGCAGAAACAGCTGTTCACAAGCAACTTTCATTTATTTTTTTTAATTTCATACAAATGCTTTTAAGTATCATTTTACAAAATATACTCTACTATACTGCATATTTTGGGTTATTTTACCTGATTCAGTACAGCTTGTTTGGATATACGTTCCGAGAATATAAATCAGTTTTGTTTATTTTGATTAACGGCTATAGTTTCACTTTCACAGATTTTAAAGCAAGTAGATGGCATTGATAGAGTATCAATTCTTACAAAACAGATTGTGGATTCGGCACAAACAGGCAGGCACTAACCTTTTCAAATTAACCTGCAATGAATACATAACCGGTAATCATGCCAACAAAGGAAGCAATGAATGTAATGAAAAAGAATTGAAGAAGGAAACAGTATGTAGTTTAGTTTTAATTTATAAATAAAAATTAAAATATACTGATAATATACCTTTTTTATGTTATTCTTTAATTATCAATTGTCATGTTATTAAAAATTATTAGTTTTTATACTATAAACACACTAAAAGTTATACTTACAGTAATTTTTAATTGATTGGCAGTAAATTTTTTACATTAACGGCGTATCAATGTTAAATTCTTTCTCTCTATATATTCAGTGCAAGTAAATAAATATAAATGTTAAGTGTCTATTTATATTTAGACTTGAATTCATTTAGCAAAGTATTTATCGTATTCACTGAACTAAATGAATATATAAAATCTATTGCTGTTCCTAATAATATCTATTATTATCTACAAAAACAATTTTTTTGAGATATAGTAAAATGACAATCGCCAAAATTAAACAGGTTAACAGTCGGCATTCATTCCAAAGAAGGGAATGAGTTGGTTGAGCTATCAATGCTTTTGGTAGGTGACATTTTCTGCTTTCTTCTTTTGCTTCAATGATCCATTTTGTGCAAAAGATGGTTGTAATCATTATGTTTGCAGTTGTTTAAAATATAAACGCACCCCATCATCCTTTGCTTGGTAGTTTTTAATAATGGACCAAAAGTAACATCCAGTTGTACATAAATCAAAACCTAACTGGGAATCTCTCTCTCTCTCTTCATAGGAGATTTTCAAATCCTTATCATTGTCTTACGATGATGCCTTTTATCAATTGAATCTCGCCTACTGCTAAAAGCTTCACCGCTCCAATGTTCTATTATTTTCCAGAACACGGGGACGTTGAATTCCTATTTTCAAAGTTCTTTTTTCTTTTGAAAATTAGAATATAATAGGTTAAGGAAGTGTTTAAAAAAATTATATGAATTATTTATGATTCTCAAACTCTTTTTATTTTAATAAGTTTCATAACCAAATTTATATCAGAAGCCTTCAGGTGATCACAACTTATTGTTTAACAGGTTCATAATACTTTAGGACTCATTTATAAGTAGATTCTTAAACCTTTAAATTTTAATTGGTCTCACTAATTTAATTATTCAACAAGCCCTTGAACTACTTAATTTTTTTTAATTATGTCTTTAATACTTAATAGAATCCTAACAAGATCATATTTAATTTTGATTTATTTTAATATATATTTTTTATTAGTTCTACTAAATGTATTCGTACAATAATTGTTAGAAAAAAAAAAAAAACACCTTTCCCTTTAGATCCATCCCTTTGGGCTACAGAAGGCAGAATTCTTCACTGGTTTTATAATTGGATCAGGGGAATTTCACTGTACATCCGTCTCTTCTTTTCAGAATTTTAATTCTTAAATTTTTTCTAAGAATTATATTTTGAAAATACTTTATAAATCACTTCCAAATTTTAGTTAACAAAAAAATGTTATGAGAGGTGCGAATGTAAATTATGGAGAACGTAAAAAGAATGGGCCCTAGCCGGCCCATTTTGAGAGCATCTTGCTATGAATAATGATTATGTATGTTGGTTTTATAAGGATCATGATTCATGAATGCTTGGGTTTAGTTCGAAGCAATTGTAGTTCACTAACATTTTTTTATAATCGACATACTGTTTTTATTGCGATGAATATGAATATGTGTTCTTCACATTTTTGTAGTTATTTATATATTAGCAATTTCTTCTTGTGTATTGTTTAAGTACTTTAAATTTAAATAATTATTTAAAAGAAATTAAAGGTGTATTGTATGATAAATTTTTAATTTAAATTAAATTTATGAATAAAAAATAGACATATTTTAAACTTGCTCATTTGAAAACAAAATTAAATTTCAAGTACTCAATTTGTCTCTACTTATCTAAACATCTAATTATATGCACTTTGGTAGTTGGTACATGGACCTCACTAATGCCTCTCATTAGCTCATTGTGTGGGACCAATATTAAATTGTATTAGTCAGTCAAAAAATTGAGAAAAGACATATAAAGAATACCCAAATTCCACGATCACTTGTATAGAGTTCATAGGGACGCAAATATGGCGCCATGCTTCTGCCATAAAATAAAAACGGTAGAAGTTGGAGTCGGTGAATTCTATCATCCTCTCTACTGTTTTAATAAGTAATAAAAAAAGTTATCTTTTGAAAAAGAGTGTATAATGTTAATATGTACTGTGCATTATTGATTAAGAAATTTTTTAATAAAACAGTTAGCAATGTTACATAGGAATACTATAGAAAAATAGTTCTGTACTTTTTTTATTATTTGTTATAGGTTTTTTTATTGAATTTAATTTGATATTTTTAAAATTTTAATTTGATTTATTAATATTTTTAATATCATATTTTGCATTGATATTTTTAGTATACTGTTAAGTTTTTTTATAAATGTTATTAAATTATCTAAATAAATATATTTTTATAAGACATATATCTAAATAAAGCATAAAAAATAGTTTAACAATTTAAATTTTTGTAATAAAATTTTATATTTTTATTTATCACTTCCAAACTACAGATTTAATTTAAATAAATAAATCAGTAAATATACAATAAATATAAATACATATCAATATTACATGGACGAGATAAACTAAATAACATTAACGTAATAGATCTAACAAACAGTATTAACTTTTTCAAAAAATATATCGTAAGAATAATCTTTAACTTTAATAAAAAAAATATTAATATTTTTAATTTAAAATTTTATTTATTTTAAAAATTAATTAATTTAATATAATATTATATTATACATTTAATATTAAAATATTCAATATATTATAAATTTTAAATAGGTAATTTTTTACTTTTTCTGAGTTATTTCTAATGAAATTGTCTATCCACTGCGCAACAAGAAGCTATTATTGGTGAAGAAAAAAAGTTTGCCCTTTAAAGTACATCTTGTATGTTGTTTTAATAATATGAATGTATAAAGAATGATATTAAAGTTAAAAACTAATCTTATGCAATTTTGACGCGAACAAATTCGAAAAATGCAATTTGCTTCTCCCTCTTGCTATCCCTTTCTCCTCACTTTTCCCATCCACTCTTCCCCACCTAGCTCTGCTTTCCCCCACTCCTCTCTTTCTTGCTCTCTCTTATCCCCCACTCCTCACTTTTGCTCTTCTTTTTCCTATTTTTTTTGCTTAAATAAAAATTACATTGTATACTTTATTTATATAAAAATTTATTGCAAAATGCAATTTGTGCTAAAATTATAAAATATTCAAATATAATAAGATTGTGTATCTACATATTCACCCTTTGCTTCCTATTGCTTAGAATTCACCAACTCACTTGAAAAAAAAAAAACATAATTTATGTTCTTAGACGAACCATTACCATCCTCACCCTGGTACTCTTAGTACACTACTTTTTTATTCTCGCTGGTTTGATAACTGCACGTCCATCAGGTGCTTCCCCAGGGGTTCTACTTGGAAGCAAGTGCAGGGACTTGGGAGGAGCTTCAAATAAAGAGGAATAACTAAGCAAAACTCACAAGTGACAAGCCCTTAGAATTACAAATTGAAGAAAAAAGAACAGAAACAATGAACTAATTTTTTATTATTTACGGGAATAAGTAATACATCATCACATTTAAACAAACTTTACAGCAATTAAGAGTATCACAATGCAAACAGTTTCACTCGCACAGTCCACGGAGACATCAAATTTTCATTTACAAAGGAATCCCGACTGGGTTCCCTCTCCAGCAAGCCTTCATCTTCACTGCTCAGTCGATGCATTTCAGAGATTTCCAATCCGCAAAGGGTTTTATCCATCCAATTCGAAAACCAAGTGAACAAAATACTAAAAGAAACTAACTGCAAATGAAATTGCCCAACCCGAGACTTGAAACAAAATAATTTATAAAGCAAATGAAGAAAAAAGAATAAGTCCCCCACCCCCGAATTTGTGATAATAACAATGAATACAAATAACACCCTTATTCTCTTATGAGTGGGAATTTAGAGATTCTTTTCTTGCTTGAACCCGAAGGCTTACTCAGAGACGGGTTTGGTCTTGGACCTGTAGAGGAGTTTCTTCTTCTTGGATGTTTGGTTATCTACGGTGAGTACAACCTTGCCAGTTTCACCAACTTTGAAGCTGTTGGAAATCACTGTCTCGTCAGCGGGAGCAATTTTCCTGCTCTTCTGTACTATGACGGTGTATCCATCCTCAGCGGCGGGTACAAATTCAGCTCCATAGTTCACATCCCAACCCACAACTCGGATTTCCCAGAGCAGATGGCTTTTCTGCAGGCAGGGGGTCAATGCTCAATAGCATTAGGAAAATAAGATTGCATAATGAAACAAACAAACAAGGGTTGGTGAGTGGTGACTGACTCAGACTCACCTCAGAAACGGGGAACTCAACGGTGTGCTTAGTTGCGGGTTTAACAGTAACCTCCGTGACGGGGTCAGCGGTGGTGAATTCCTGTTCCCCCTCTCTGCTGAGTCCACCGTATTGAACAGGCACTAGCTCGGGAGCAATATATCTGGGAGGCCAAATATAGACGATATCAAGAGCTTACTAATATAATAAACACAGAGCAGTGGAGGAAACAGGGAGAAGGAAATGGACTTACTTGAAAAGGGTTTCGGCAGATTTGGATGGGCCAGCAAAAACAAATTTGCTCTTGGTCCGCTGGGTGAGGAAAGCATTGATCATCCTAGCAAAGGCAAGGTACCACCAGGGGACGTTGATAAATATCTGTTTAGCCACAAACTCAGGGTAGTTATCCTGAAGCAATTGAAGGGCATGATTGGTGACCTGCCTGTGTTCCCACTTAGCCAGTCCAGGAGAGTTTTTAAGATCGTTAACCTGCACAATTGTGGATATAGCAGAGGGTGAGAAATCCAGTTTTCTCACACTCTTTTCCAAAAACTGAATCCTCCAACGGATGAACTTTTCCCGCTTCTCCTCGTCCGAAAACGTCTTCTGATACAGTTCCTTCTTCCCAAACTCCCCAAACACGTTGTAGCAAACAGGGTGCCCTTCCTTGTCGTATCCGTGAGAGTAAACCACCTTGTCCCAATTGCTTCCCAGGTCCTCCTCCACCAGAGCGTCGATTCCGAATTCCTTTCTCCAACGCACCGTGTTCTTTATCATTGTGAACGCATCCTTCACCTTGAAATCCCTCGCTCTCAAGAATTTCAGCAGAATCACGTCGCTCCTCTCGTCCGCCAGCAGGGGAATTCCCCATATCTCAACTTCCTCAGGGCTCACTTCCTTCTTCTCTACTTCTTTTTCTTTTTCTTCTTCTCCCACAACCTCTGATTCTTTCTTCTCCCCTTCTTTTTCTTCTGTTTCTGTTCCTCCCGCTTCTACTTCCTTCTTTTCCACTTCTTTTACTTCTTCTGCCACTACCTCTAATTCCGTCTTCTCCGCTTCTTCTCCACCTCCCACCTCTAATTCTTTCTTCTCCGTTTCTTGTACCGCCACCACTTCTGATTCCTTCTTCTCTTCTTCTTTTTCCGTCACTTCTAATTCCTTCTTCTCTACTTCTTCTGTGGCCACCGCCTCTTCCTTCTTCTCCACTTCTTCGGCTGCCACTTCTTGTTCCTTCTTCTCAGCATCTTCTGCTGCCGCCACATCTTCCTTCTTCTCAGCTTCTGCAGCGGGGGCCTTGGGAGGTGGGGGAGCACTAAGCTCGTGCTTGTTAAGCGCTTCTTGAATGAGCTTCTTGAGTTCATCGAGGGCTTTCTTTTGCGCTTCGGGGAGGTCGCCAACCACGTTGCTCTCCTCCTTGAACGAAACTGATTGCGAAATCTTCTCTTCAACACCCGCCTGCTGGGCCTTCGCCTCTTCCACCACAACTTCTTCAGTAGTAGTTCCTGCTGGCTTCTCGGCTTCATCGGCGGCTACCGGCTTCTCGGCTTCATCGGCTGGAGCTTGAGCAACAGGGTCCTTGTCAGTGTGGACAACGGGCACCACCTCTTCAGCAGGAGCTGGCTTTTGGGGTTCCTCGGCCATGGTTGGATGGTACAGCGAAGAGTGGTAGAAAGTATGAACAAAAAGAGAGAAGAAGTTGGAAGTTGAAAGGAGTATTGTGAATCTAAAAGAGAGAGTGATTGGCAACGGTGGTTGTATGATGGCAAAAACCAGTCTGTCATGCCAGCAGATACACCACTTTGTTTCTCATACGTGGGTCCCTCTCTCCCACCTTAATCCTTTCTACATATTCAATTATACTATAATTAATTATTTCAAAACAACCACTGCATGTGTTTTTCCTTTTTTTTTTTTACCAATTTCAAATTATTCACCTCAAAGCCCATTGTATCAACTCTTTTCTGTGTCTTCATCCTTAATTACATGGTCGTCCTGATCAAAATTTATTCAAGGAATGATTTTAGTGCGAATCAATCACAACTTTATTTTCAAAATATTAATGATAAATATCAACGTCAACAAAAACGTTCCATTGTCTCCTTCGCCAAGCAACATTGCTTGTAACGTTATCCACATTCAACATTGCCGTGTTATTATTAATAACATTTAAAAAACCTAACACCGCCGAGACCAATGAAAATTAACGTCATCAAATAATATAAACCACAATAAGTACTTAATTTATTTTTTTATAATTTTCACTTCATCTCTAAAATAAATCATTAAATAATTTTTCAAAATTATAAATTAATATATTTTAATCCTTCCGTTCATTGGATATAAGAATTAAAATATATTATTTTTACAATTTTTTGAAATTAAATTATTTAATTTTTTTTCAAGGATTAAAATATCTCAAACTTTTTAGGACTATTTTAAAATTATGGAAAGCTGCAGCATTCTTTGTTCATACTTTTAAGAAAATACTAATAATGTTATTATATTCTTTATAACTTATTATTTACCAGTAATTTTTCTTTTAAAATTTTAAAAATAACTGGTGTTAAAATGAATCAATACTATTGTGTATATGCTGTCATCATTCTTTTGTGTATATTAAAATTATTTTTAAGACAAAGTTTTATTTATAAAAAAAGTATACAACTGTAATCAATATCTTTATTAATTAAGAAATTAAAAAATAAAAAGTATATTAATAATATACTGAAAATTATGATGAAAGTATATTTATAATATTTATATGCAAAATAATCCGTATTTTTAATATATTACTTAATATGTATTGTATAATTATGATAAATTTTAAAGAGGTTGTTATTAAAAATTAATATTCCACTATAATCAAGACGAAGTTATTATGTCAAAATCGCTTTTGCCAACCGAACAACCACTATTTTCGGGCTGTACAAAACGCAATTTGGCTGTTCTTCAAATCACTCAAAGCTACTTTAATTTTCGGCGAAATAAACAAAATAAAATTAAAAAATATTCAAGGCACCTTCATGGTCTAAAAAGAGCTTCTCTTCCTTCAAACTACACAGTGCCACTTGGCAACATGCAAATACCCGTAAGTAGAATTAATCAATTAATCTCTTCACTTATCTTATAGGAAGCCTCAATCAATAAAACACATGAAAATTTCTCCAAACCAATGCTCGGCTACAATTTTGTTTTTCTAAAATTTGGATGAAAATTTTGAAAAAGTTAAAAAATGAAAAACAAAAACGTGTTTGGGTTATCATAATTCGCAAAGCCTATGCGTGGGGTGACCAGTTGTTGAAGGAGAAACACGGCTAACACCACCGATGATTCTGGACAGCTTCACCATCTGGCCACCAAATGGTCAAAGTTAAGAAGCCATGCCATGCTAAAGGTAAAGTTGCAGAGAATGCCGAAAACGAAAGTGAGAGAGAAAGACAGATTAAAAGCAATTAGAATCTACCTTTTTTAATGACCCATTCTATTAGTTTAAAGTTGAGTAAATATCATTGCTTTTTCAAAAAAAACTTGTTTAGAAATCATCATTTTAAGTTTCTTTATAAAAATAGTAATTATCTTCAGAAATAAATTAAACCAAACACATGCAAGAAATAATGGTTTTACTGTTTTGAAACACATACAGAGAACTTCCCCCAATAGCTGAAAAAAAAATAAAACAAGTACTTAATTAACCAAAGGCTTTTTTTTAGAAAAAAAAAAACAAAATATTGTTTTGAAAACAATATCCCAATGGACTACCAATTCTCTGAACAGTACCACACATTTAGTTAAAAAAAGTATTTTATTTAAATATTTAATTATTTAAGGTATATAATAAAATATTGAGGTACTTTATTTCATTAAGTTAAAATATTGTGTAATATCATGCAAAAAATAGTTATAATATTATACCAAATTAATACTAATAAATTTTGACATGATTAATAGATAATTGGATCCTTTACATGTATTAACAGTAATTTGATTTTTAAGTATGTATATGAAAATATTTTACTTACTTCAGTAATTTATTTATCTTAAATATAAATAATTTTTGTTTGTCAGCGAATCCTTAATGCTTTAAATAGTAAATGACTCTTTTGCTGAAGAACACTAATAATACACACTTTAAAGATACAATTTTAGCATGCTTGTTAATAAAACTCATAAAATTATATATAATTTAAAATTTTAATTAATAATAAAGTGTCATTAGTATTTTTCTAATCAATTATTATAAAATAGGAAAAGTTGTATTGCTAGTATTAACAATAACTTGTATTTACACTATTGAAATCTATTGCCATCATTATCGTTTAGCGAATAATTTCAGATAACTCATATTCTTACGAAATCAAGTTGTGATTAAAAACAATTAGCAAACTAGAATCGTTGACTTAATGAACGACAAACTTTTAAAGATGGTGGGAGTGAGGATCAGCATTAGTTCTTGGGCATTATCTGATTATCATTTTTACTTTATTTTTTAAAGAGATTAATTTATCTAATATTTTAATTCAATTTAATATAATTTTTTAAGCTCAACATTATTGATAATCAATTTCAAACTTTTTGCTATCAACTTCAAAATTATAAACGATGGATTAAGATTACAAGTAAAGTTTCAAAGTTAATTGTACAAGTATTTGAAACATTAATTAGTTCACCATCTATAATCTTAAAGGTGTCACAGATTTTTAGAAGTTGCAAAGAGAGAGAGAGAGAGAGAGAGAGAGAGAGAGAAATATCCATAACATGTCTGTTTGTAATTGTTTACTGCAACTAATTGTCTCATTTATATTAACATAAATTAATATATATATATATATATATATATATATATATATATGTATAACATTAATTAATTTATTAAATTAAAAAAATATAATTTTCACAATAGAAAAAAGGACAGTATAATTTAAGCTTATATAAAGAATAAAAATGTGGTTTGCTCTTTATTTTTAAATTTTTTTTAAAGATCTGATACTTGGAGAGTATTTTATCTTCAACTACTTATATTGAATAAACCTCAAATATTTATCAATAGTTAATAAATATTAAACAAATAATTTTACGTATCACAATAATTCTTATAATTTCATCTTATATTTGTATGTTAGTTTGGGAGTAGAAATATTATTCAAAGAGCAACTAAATGCGCTTTTTTTCTTTCTAAAAGTTAGTTGTTAGAATTAAATCAACTATCTAAGATGTGATTTTATTCTACTAGCTAATAAGATTTCATGATTTAACACGTCTAGTTAATTAATGAACAATACGCTTATATCTATGCCGTCAGCTATCATATACGTAAACAAATAAATGATTCATATTTTTAGTAGACACAAATAAATTATTTTACTTAGCAATAATTACTAATTGGTGTTCCTTATCATGTACTAGGACAAACAAACAACAACACTAATACTATGGGCAGGAGCAGGCGGCGAAGTGAGGAATGAAAGGTGAGGTAGTAATGGTATGCACGCAACGCTGACAAAGATAGCAGCGCTGTCACGGAGAATATAATCACAGGAGGCGTTGTGGCGGACCACGTCGTACACAGCAATGTCGGAAGAGTAAATTATATGGACACGTAGCCCCGACCACAGTATGTTTTTCTGGAACAGCCTGTCATGGGATCATATCCTTCACATTGATGCAATGCAACCCTAACGCACACCACCCCGTACTCGTAGCCGGCAACAAAGAACGAAGAGACATTATTATATTTTACGAAAGTGGTATCCTGTGTCTGTCTGCGTGTCCAAATCCAAAAACATAAAAAAATAAAAGGGGGTTTTATTTGTCTTTTCGCTAAAAGTGGCCCCCACACACCCCCTTGTTCTTTCTCTTTCTTGCTCCTTCAAGCAAGCCCAAGCTGTTGGCTGATTCTTCTTTGCTGTCTCATTCTACTCTTCTCACTTCTTATATTTCTTTTCTCTTTGGCAAAATTATTAGTTTCAAGACAAAACCCAAAACCCAAAACGTCCTTAAGACATTTTAGAAAGGAGAGAGGTTACGTGCCTGGCACTTGTTTTGAGTGAGAGAAGAGGGCTCTAATTTCAGCCATTGTATATTGGACTTTATAAGCGTCCAATTGGCCACCCTATTTTTTTAATGGATAAGTCTCAAATTAGTCTTCGCTGGAGCGATTGAATAGAATGACATATTTGTCTACTGTCGCTGTCCTTTTAATTTCTAAGTTTCTTCTCATTTTTTGTTTACCTTTCACAGCTTCATCCAGGAATTTCTTGTACAACGACTATTGCAGTTGGTGCATGTTTATCTGACTTTTCTTATGTTATGAATCATTTTCAATTTGTTTTAACTTTTAATCGTCAGACTTGAATATTATAAAATCATCCTTTACTCGTTATCTTCTTAACCATGAAGCTACTTGTTAACATCCACCGTTTATCGGATTTTTTTTTGGTCATATGACGTTAACAGCAACTTGCAAACGAAATTGATTGCCCATTGAAAAGACATAAACTAGTACTTTCAAATAGTATAAATTTGTCATTTATCTCGTAATTGAAAGCTAATTTAATTGCAATTTTTTTAAGGTTTTAGATTTTTCTGAAGAAGGGGAAAATAAACAAAGTAGAGACAGAATTACCTCAGGCCTCAGCAGAAATTATCTTCAATTGAACCAGTCTTGAAAAATTTATCGTGTCGTTAACTTGAACTAAGGTTTCAATAACATTTAATTGCATTTTTACCTTCCTCATCACATATAAGATAATTTTCATTATTCTTATAAAAAGGTACGTAATATACCAAATCCTCACAATAGAAATGAATTAAAATCAAATAAAGCAAGAA